AGTTGCATCATCATTGGGCTGTGGGTTGGGTTCCATTTCATCATCTGCCAAGGAGCAGCCCCCATCTGGAGTCTGACTGGCCTCGTTGGTCACATTTCATCAGCCAAAGTTGGTCCAGTGACCAAGGCTGATATAAAACACTCTTGTTTTTGCTTGTTGCCATGGAGTTGGTTCCAACTCACGGTGACCCCATGTGCAGCAGATGAGATGTTGCCCAGTTCTGAGCTAGCGCCACAATCTTTGGTACCCTCCAAGTCCATTGGTTCCGCTACCGTGTCAATTCCTCTTGTCGAGGTTTTCCTCATTTTCACCAACCTGCTACTTGGCCAAACATAATGTCCTTTTCTAAGAGGTTGATCTTTCCAGATGACGTGTTCAAATCAAGTAGACCAGAGTTTTGCCATCCTCGCTTCTAAGGAGATTTCTGGTTATATATATCTAGGATTTATTTGTTCATTCTTCTGGCGGTGCATAGACAGATTCAACAATCTCCACCAACACCACAAGTCTAACATATCAATTCTTCTGTCTTCCTGTCTCATTGCCCAATGTTAACAAGCATTTGAGGGTGTTGAAAAGACCATGGCTTGGATCAGGCACACCTTAGTCATCAAAGTGCTCCCCTCGCTTTGTAAGATTTTAAAGGGGTGTTTCACCCAGATTTGCCCAGTGTGAGACCGTAGAAGATGTAGAAGATTCCTTCTTATGTTGGGTGCCCTTGAGTTGGTTCTACTCTATGTACAACAGAACGAAACGCTGCCTAGGTGTGCGCCCTGCTCACAATCCTTGTCAGGTTTCAGCCTATTACTGCCACTGTGTCAATCATCTCATGAGGGGGGCGGGTCTTCCTCTTTTTCACGGACCCTCTACTTTACCAAGCATGATGTCCACCACCAGAGACTTATCCCTCCTGATAATATGTATAAAGTACAAGAAAAGTACCAGAGACAAAGTTTGGGCAATAATGCAACCGAGAGGATCCCTGGTGGTACAATGGTCAAGTGCTCAGCTAACTTAAAGTAAGCGGTTTGAACCCACCTAGTGACTCCTCTGGTAG